AAATGTAGCGACATAACTCTTATTAAACAAGAATGACCTTTACCTCTAGAAAAGGTGTATAGTCTGAGATCTTAATAGAAAACTTAGGTGAGTGGGAATAGCAGAAAGTAGGAATTTATCACGGGGATATTTTTTATTTTACTTTGTTTTTAAATTTGCGACAATTCTAAGCACAATCCTTATAACCTTTGTCTTGCGTGAAATAGTTATTTCGCTTTTCGTAAGTCTTACCTAGAGCTCCCTCCTTTTCACTAATGCAAGTCATCTCTCTATGTCGTGCTAAAATTTTGCCATTACTGTTCCATAAACATTAGAAATATGAACTCTACTCTCTCCTTCCCTAACACATACATGTATGGCTAATAAGCCTTCTCCTGATCCAGTATCCTAATTTTCATTCACCGTTTGCACTGTGTTTCTAACCGAGAACCTTTTTAGTGGAGTGTACCCGTGATACTTTTTTCATCTCGACATCAACGATATTCTCCGGGTTTTTTTTTGTACCTCACAGCACCGATGTCTTCGGAAGAAAAAATTGCCGCCATGGGCTTGGTTTTCAATAGGAACTTTAAAAAAATGTCCAAAAGAAATAAAAAGGTATCGTTAGGTATTAAAATACATATACTACCAACAATCTTTTTCACCGATAAAAAGGGGGTTGCGTCAAATTTTCATGCACATAGGCCGCATTTAGGATAGGGGGGTATTAATGATTTGAAAGCTTTACTTGGGGAACAAACTTGTTCTCAGCTTGCATTTTGGCTGGGTAAGCGGGGAAAACGCAGTTCGTGCGGGGTGCCCTCCGACCATTAACATTACGTCTGTAAAATGAACATACCATGCGTTACAAAGAGCGCTTGACAGTCACTACTTCCTTCACCCTTTTATGAAAAAAAAAAAAGTTTTTTTTTACTGTTTCCATACAGTGATGATGGTAAGAAACGAAACATATGTCAAGTGGCGTCGGCTCTTCGGTAATCAAACTATTTCAACATAAAAACCTGGAATAACGCAAGATAGTTCCTCTGCCTTAAAGCTTAACTTTGTCTGCCTTAAAGCTTAACTCGTATTTTGCGCCTTATACTTGCTTTTATCTCTAAAAACCTTAAGCTGTTAGAACATGGACAATTCGAAGTTATAGTAATAAATTTCAACCTTTTAAACTAACTGCAGAATGTTTGTTTTGGCACGCAGTACTTTCATATTAGAGCAAAGTTTAGCTATACCGTTTTGGCGTTATCTGCCAAATGTCCTGTCCTTTTCCATAAAAAATCAAGTGTAAAAGCACCTTTCGCTTCCAAAATTACAAAATGTTATTTAACTGCGAAAAAATTCGATCCCAAAAAATTGTCTCCCAAAATCGTGGAGGTTAACAGTAGTTTTCCAATAAATTTTTTACCACAATTGCTGCTAATCTCGCAATCTAATTGGCTAATTTGCCGTTGTCGATTTAACAAATAGATTCCATGTTGCCGTGCGTCTGCAGTTCAGTAATGGATCACAGATGACCTCAAAATGTGGTAAGAACAAAAAAGAGACACACTCGGCTATCGCCTCGTGTGTCACTGATGTGTTCTGAAAAAGACATTTTCTTTGACGTTGAAATTGTGGTAAAAAACAAATCGAATGTGGTTTAGCGTTATCTGTACTCTTATCGACAACGATATGCGTCATCACAGTGGTCAAAATTTGCTGCGCCTCGTGAGTCCACAACATTTTGACCACTGTGATGACGCGTATCGTCGATAAGATTACAGACAACGCTAAACCACATTCGATTTGTTAAATTGATGTAGTCAAGCTATACCGCTGTACATTACAAAGGCAACAGATTTGTGGCCATTTTGATTAGTAACTATTTTAAAACTTTTAAAATACCAATGCAAAGTAGTCGCACTGTCGACTACATCAGGGGTATACAAGTATATACAGGGGTTTACAGGGGTATACAAGGGTTTACCAATGTATACAGGGGGTTACAGAGGTGTACAGAGGTTTACAGGGGTATGCAAGGGGTTACAGGGGTATACAAGGATATACAAGGGTTCACAAGGGTATACAGCGGTGTACAAGGGCTTACAGAGGTATACAAGGGTAAACAAAGGTTTACATAGGTTTACAGGGGTATACAAGGGGTTACAGGGGTTTACAGGGGTATACAAGGGTTTACAGGGGCATATACAAGGGTATACAAGCCTAAAAGCGGAGCTCCTGGGCCGGTTGTTCAAAGCTCGATTAAGCTAACCCAGGATAAGCGAGAAGCGAGAATTTTGATTTGAGTTTTGTAACTTTGCGTTGGGGTTCTCTGTATATTGTTTGGCCTTCTGTTTTCGGAGTTTGAATAATTTCAAACTACACAAAACAAAAGCAGTGAAAAACATCTGTGAACAAAAAAAATGATACTTAAGTTAACTTTTAATCTGCATGGGTTAGCTTTAACCGGGTTCCGAACAGCCTGGTATGAGCCCGCGATCCAACCGAAAACCAGCAGCTTTGTGCTGCCTCCACGTACTTACACATCGGGTGGAAAAAAAACCCTCATTAAACAAATAAGT